GGTTCAGCCATTTCATTTTATGTGTTTTGAGGTCATTGTCTGTTTTGAACACCCAACTACACTACATTGCCAAAAGTATTCGCTCACCTGTCTTGACTCGCATATGAATTTAAGTGACATCCCATCCTTAATCCATAAAATTTAATATGACGGCAGTCCACCCTTTGCAGCTATAACAGCTTCAACTCTTCTGGGAAGGCTGTCCACAAGGTTTAAGAGTTTGTTTATGGGAGTTTTTGACCATTCTTTGAGAAGTGTATTTGAGAGGTCAAACACACTGATGTTGGACAAGAAGGCCTGGTTCTCAGTCTCCGCTCTAATTCATCCCAAAGGTGCTCTATTGTGGTTGAGGTGAGGACTCTGTGCAGGCCAGTCAGGTTCTTCCACACCAAACTCTCTCATCTGTGTCTTTATGGACCTTGCTTTATAAATAATGCTAAATAATGATGAAACAGGATTACCCCCATATTCTTCAATAAAACCCAACATCATCAACCAGAAAATTGGGTCTGATGAAACTGGGTGTTCCATCAAGACAATGATCCCAAACGCACATCAAAAATGGTTAAGAAATGGCTAAATTAAGCTAGAGTTAAGGGTATAGAGGGGCTACACAAAGTCCAAACCTAAACCCCATCAAGAACCTTTGGACTGTGACAAAGAAACAACATTGCATCAAAAAGCCCAAAAATTGATCTTAACTGCACCAATTCTGTCAAGAGGAGAGTCAAAGATACAACCAGAAGCTTGTCGACAGAAANGGAATTCGGACATCTCATATTTAAATTCAGATGTGGTGCAACTTGAATACCTGTGGACATGTAGACTTATAAAGACGACTCACTGTCTCAGGCTTCACTGTCAGTGCCTGCCAGCTTTCAGCAGATGGCATCGAGGAAGTCACAAAGAACCACAAGCACCGATAAACACTGTTGCACATCATGTACTGTCTGTTGAAATACACACTAGTAAGAGTACTTCCAGCTACTCCTCTTTGTGTCAAAGGTTTATTACCATGATAAGGGTGCCTCATTTGAAGATCTCTCCTCATTTTTGCCAAAAGTAAAAGTTTAGTACCTCGCTGTACGTTGGTGGCTTGTGAGTCACCAGCGCAGGAAAGAGAGTAAGCGGACAAGTTAGGAGCAAGACCAGGCTTGTATCTCTGACATTTAAACTAAAGTACATAGAGAGTCATGAATGAAGTTTTATGTACACTTACAAACACTATGTATAAAATAACTCCTACAATCTGTGTGGAATCATTAAAAACCACAAAAAACAATCATACATTTTGGTTCTTTGGTAGATTTAATATAGATGTACTGGAAATATGCCAAACTCTGCTGAGTCAAAAATACACATACAGCAACAGTAGTATTTAGTTATATCTTAGTCATTTTCATCTTAACTATCCATCCATCCATTATCTATACACCACTTAATCCTCACTAGGGTCGCGGGGGGGCTGGAGTCTATCTCAGCTGACTTAGGG